CCCCAGACCGCTGCCCCCCGCAGCCCCGCTCCGCTCCAGCGCTCGGAGCCCTACGTGCCCCGCCTGTTCCAGTGTCCTACAGCTCGACCCAGGCCTTCTTGTGAGGACAAACAACCTTTCTAGATTGAAATATTCGGGCGGAGGGCGCCCAGAAAGTGTTCAGTACAGTCCCCAAACCCCAAAGCTATCTTGGGGCTTTCCATGTGGGAGGTGGGAGTGGAAGGGAGTGGGGGTGACTTCCAATTCGGGAAAACAGCTGTTTGAATGGAGAAGGTGACCCTGGCTTCTCTGCCCACCCCAGCACACCCTCTGCACCCTTCTCCACACTGCCCAAACCCCAGGCCCTCTCGGATCCTCCATTCCACTGCCCCGCGGGCACTGGTCCACTTGTCCTACTGTGGGGCACGCTGGGCCTAGAATCCCTGCAAGCTACTTATGTATCTCTCAGGGCAGCCTAAGGGGAAGGGGGCTAGAGATCAAAGGTGAGCCACCAGGGACAACAGACAGCTCCGACTTTGCCCGGAGTACAGGTGGCATTTATGATCACCTGAACTCATAAACATCAGGTCTGGCCAGTTGCAAATACAGGCAGTGCCTGACACCTGGCCCTCCATGCAAGACAGTCCTTGCAAGGGAACAGGTACACACAGGGTCTTCTCATATCACCCACGCCACGGAAGGCTGGAGCCCAGTACACTCAATATCACTCCAGGAACAAATATAGTAACAATTTCGAGGGGCAACTAAACATCACACTCAGGGATAGTAATGTTCTTCACTGAGCTTCTTCGTATTTATTCAATTTTCTCCTGTGAATATATACATACACATATGTATATATGCACGCGCGCACGCACACACACACCATTCCTTTGGAGATCAGAAAAAAAAATAGATGTCACCAAAAAATCCCCACCTAGCTCATACACAAAAACACTTGTGTCTTCTTGGGGCCTATCCACAGCCCAGAGCTCCCAGCCTCTGCACCCTCAGCACCCATCGTTTGCCACCCCGGCCCCTGAACACGCCCACGGGGCCCAGGCTAAGCCCGCCTCTTTGGGCTGTGGCTAGTGCAGCTGCTTGATGGAGCTATCTGAGAAAACAACTTTTCTGTAGTTGTTTTTCTTTTGACCTTTTCAGTGAAGACAGGCAGGTTGCATCCCTCTTTCTGTCTGCACCTCCCTCCCACTCCCTTTTGTTTGGTGCTGAGAGAGACACTCAGCTATTTCTGGTCATAAGGGTGGCTTTTACACATTTGTAAATCTGCAGTTAGTGAAACGTTCTCTCTGCCTTTGTCTTTGTGTCCTTAATGGTAGCCATAAATTACTGCCTTCTTTTCTCTCCGCTGCATCAGGCTTCATTGCTTTTGAAATGATCAAAGTTATTTCTTTTAAAATCCAACTAGAAACTGCCCATTGTGTGGCACAGACCTCTTTAGCTCCAGTCAAAGCATATAAATACATAAAGCTGTCCATTAAACTCTGGGGGGAGCCTCCTACAGTGCCCTTGTGCCTGGTGAAGAAATCACACATGTGCTGTTCTTCCCCCTTTACCTTTCCCTAACTTGATCTTTCAGTAAGGACACAAATTAATACTGATAAGACTCAGCGCCTTTTTGCCTAAGAGGGTCAGCTTTTGTCATGTTTTCCAGAAAAGTCCACCACTGGCACAGATCTCAAAAAATGTTCTGTATCCTATTTTGTTTGCCCTGACATCCTTACAAACATGCTTTCAGCTGTTGGCTCCGAGACTCCTGGGCAACCTTTCTGACATTTGAGATTAAAGTCAATATGGCTTACAACTGGGAATTTCCATAGGGGGAAGGCTCCAGGGGAAAACTGTGTCCAAATGTCAGTGTTTTTGGTGTCAGGAGGGACTTGGTTGGCTCTACTCTGGCTGTAGGCTGCCCTCTATTGGCCAGCTGAGGTCCCCACAAACTTCTCAGAAAGGCCTCAGACACCGTTCCTGGACTGAGGCTAAAGCTCCCTCTTCCTCTCCCTGTCTCCTTTCCACAGGCTGAGAGACCATGAACCAGGTCTCAAGGGTGCGGAGAGGCAGCCCAGCCAGCCCAGTCTCACTGGCGTGGGCCTCTGAGGAGGCGGAAGAAAGCCTGGTAGTGGCCGGCTGTGTGTACCCCTGAACTACACATAAGTAGGTGCCACTCTGCACTCACGGGACACCATTCAGTGCCCCCCAGCAGCCTCTGAAATGTGGACTGCTTCTCCCTGGTGGAAACTCTCCCTACCCTTGGTTGTCATTGTGGCAGGCAAACTCCTGGTTTTCCTCCTACCTCTCAGGAAATGCCTTCTCCACCATCTTCTAGGAATCCTCTTTCTACATCCTCTCCCTGGATGGTTTGCTCATTCCCTTGATTCCATAACATCAATCTCCAGCCTGGATTTATCCCCTTGGTTCAATCCCATGTATCCAGTTGCCTACTAGATACCACCTTGATCTCCCCTAGATCCCTCCAATTCATCATGTTCAAAAGGAAGCTCACGACCTAGAAGCAGCTTCTCTGCTCCTTCTCGAATCTCTGCCTGGTTCAGGCCACCTGCCTCCACTCCTGCCTCCACCATGTCTATCAGAGTGACCCAGAAGTCCTACAAGGTGTCCACCTCTGGCCCCTAGGCCTTAAGCAGCCACTCCTACATGAGTGGGCCCAGTGCCCGTATCAGCTCCTGGAGCTTCTCCTGAGTAGGCAGCAGCAGCAGCTTCCAGGGTGGCCTGGGCACCTCCATGGGTCTGGGTGGACGCTTTGGTGGGGCCAGTGGTATGGGGGTCATCACAGCCATCATGGTTAGCCAGAACCTGCTGAGTCCCCTTGGAGGTGAACCCCAACATCCAGGCTGTGCACACCCAGGAGAAGGAGCAGATCAAGACCCTCTACAACAAGTTTGCCTCCTTCATCGAGAAGGTGCGGTCCCTGGAGCAGCAGAACAAGATGCTGGAGGCCAAGTGGAACCTCCTGCAGCAGCAGAAGACAGCTCAGAGCAACACGGACAACATGTTCGAGAGCCACATCAACAACTTTCGGTGGCAGCTGGACACTCTGGGCCAGGAGAAGCTGAAGCTTGGCAACATGCAGGAGCTGGTGGAGGACTTCAAGAACAAGTATGAGGATGAGATCAATAAGAGTACAGAGATGGAGAATGAATTCGTCCTCATCGAGAAGGATGTGGCTGAAGCTAACATGAACAAGGTAGAGCTGGAGTCTCACCTGGAAGGGCTGACTGACGAGATCGACTTCCTCAGGCAGCTGTATGAAGAGGAGATCCGGGAGCTGCAGTCCCAGATCTCGGACACTTCCGTGGTGCTGTCCATGGACAACAGCCACTCCCTGGACATGGACAGCATCATCCCTGAGGTCAAGGCACAGTACAAGGAGATCACCAACCACAGCTGGGCTGAGGCTGAGGGCATGCACCAGATCAAGTATGAGGAGCTGCAGACACTGGCTGGGAAGCACGGGAATGACCTGCATTACGCAAAGATGGAGCTCTCTGAGATTAACAGGAACATCAGCCAGCTCCAGGCTGAGACTGAGGGCCTCAAAGGCCAGAGGGCTTCCCTGGAGGCCGCCATCACAGATGCTGAGCAGTGTGAGGAGCTGGCTGTTAAGGATGCCAACACAAAGCTGTTGGGCTAGAGGCGCCCCGTAGTGGGCCAAGCGGGACATGGTGTGGCAGCTGTGCCATGGAGCACCAGGAGCTGAAGAATATCAAGCTGGCCCTAGACATCAAGATCGCCACCTACAGGAAGCTTCTGGAGGGCAAGGAGAGCTGGCTGGGGTCTGGGATGCAGAACATGAGTATCCATCTGAAGACCACCAGTGGCTTCTCAGATGGGCTGAGCTCGGCCTATGGGCACCTCACAAGCCCTGGCCTCAGCTACAGCCTGGACTCCAGCTTTGGCTTTGGTGGAGGCTCCAGCTCCTTCAGCCGTGCCAGCTCCTCCAGGGCCGTGGTTGTGAAGAAGGTGGAAACACAACATGGGAAGCTGGTGTCCGAGTCCTCAGATGTCCTGCCCAAGTGAATGGCCACGGCAGCCCCTACCAGCCTGCCCCTGCTGCAGCTGCCCCAGGGCCTGTGGGGGAAGCCGCTGTGCATTGGAGCACAGGAACAGGAGACCCACCTGAGGGTCAGCCCTAGCCCTCAGCCCACCTGCTGAGGGAGTTTACTGCCTGAGGCACCCCCCTTGCTCATGCTTCCAGCTACAAAACAATTCAATTGTTGCTTTTTTTTCCCCCAAAATAAAACCTCAGCTAGCTCTGCCAACTGTCCAAAACAAACAAACAAAAAAATGGAGCTCATCTTCCTCAAACCTGCTCCTTCTCAAGCGCTGTCTCCTTTAGACAAGAGCACCACCATCCTGTGAACGCCAAGTCAGAGGTTTGGTGGTCATCTGCGACTCCATGATATCCCTCCCCAGCACATCTGAACAATTACGAAAATTCTGCCTTCTTACTATCTCTTAAAACCATTCTCTTCCTCCGTGCCCATTGCCTGGGCTCAGGGGTTCACCATCCCTCATCACCCCTGGGGGCTGTGTATCTATCTTTTTCCTCTTTCCTAACAGATACTCACCCCTCCTGCAGGCAGCCCGTGTGCCTAGGGAGGAAGCTTCCCCATCTCTAACTTCAGGCTCTGGAGTTGACTTAAGACAACTGATATCATTCATTCCATTCCCCCTGCAACAGTCATTGGTTCAGGGATGAGCACGTGACAACTTTCCAATGGGAACAAATCTCAGGCCCTTTGCTTGAAAGGCTGGAATGGAAAGGCTCTCTTTTCCTCTTTGGAATGTGGCTGTAGTAAATGAGAAACTGTGGCAGCCATCTTAATACCTCCTTCCCTTGCCCAAAAGAGGGTAAGTCCAGAGAAACCCTGAGAAGCCAACCAGGAGACACACTGGTTGCACCTAGTCTGCGATTTCCTATAGGTCTCTGTCTAGAATCTCATCCCGATTCAGCACATCTAACACAGTGGCTGCCAGAGTTAAATATAAGTTTCATCACATCACTCCCAGTCTTCCTCAGGCTAACATCCAAGCTCCCTTGGTACAATCACTCTGAAGAACTGTTCGGCAGTATCCACTAATATGGATCATGCATGCCCACTTCGCAGAATATACCCAAGAGAAATGAGTGTACATGTCCACCAAATTCATATACAAGAACATTCATAACGGCTGTATTTACACTAGCCCTAAACTGGAAATCACCCACATGTCCATCAACTAGATAATGAACAAATCATGGGATATTTGTTCAATGGAATACTACACCAAGCAACAAAACGAACAAACTCTGATACAGGCAACCACACAGAGGCATCTTACGAACATTAGGCCTAAAGAAGCCAGGTTAAAAAGGGTGTAAGTTGTATCATTTTGAGAGACAGGACTAGCCGGATTTCCTAGGCGGACTAAGAATTCCTAAACCTAGCTGGGGAAGGTGACCACACCCACCTTTAAACACAGGGCTGGTAACTCAGCTCACACCCAACCAATCAGGTAGTAAAGAGGGCTCACTAAAATACAAATCAGGCCAAAAGCCGGAAGTAAAGAAATAGTCAAATCATATATCTCCTGAGAGCACAGGGGGAGGGACAATGATCGGGATATAAACCCAGACATTTGAGCAGGGAGCGGTAACCCCCTTTGGGTCCCCTCCCATTGTATGGGAGCTCTGTTTTCACTCTATTAAATCTTGCAACTGCACATTCTTCTGGTCCGTGTTTGTTACAGCTGGAGCTGAGCTTTCGCTTGCTGTCCACCACTGCTGTTTGCCGCCATCGCAGACCCACCACTTACTTCCACCCCTCCAGATCCAGCAGGGTGTCCGCTGCGCTCCTGATCCAGCCAGGCGCCCATTGCCGCTCCCAATCTGGCTAAAGGCACACCATTGTTCCCGCATGGCTAAGGGCCCAGGGTTCGTCCTAATGGAGCTGAACACTAGTTGCTGGGTTCCATGGTTCTCTTCCATAACCCACGGCTTCTAATAGAGCTATAACACTCACTGCATGGCCCAAGGTTCCATTCCTTGGAATCTGTGAGGCCAAAAACCCCAGGTCAGAGAACAAAAGACTTGCTACCATCTTGGGAGCAGCCCGCCACATCTTGGGAGCTCTAAAAATAAAGACCCGCCCATAACAATTCTATTCACTTCTATGACGTTCTGCTGGGTGTGGTGGCTCACACCTGTAACCCCAGCACTTTGGGAGGCCAAGGTGGGTGGATCGCTTGAGCTGAAGAATTCAAGACCAGCCTGGGCAACACAGTGAGACCTCATCTCTACAAAAAATGTTTTTCAAATCTGCCAGGGGCCAGGTAGGGTAGCTCAAATCTGTAATCCCAGCACTTTGGGAGGCCGAAGTGGGCTTATCACCTGAGGTAAGGAGTTCGAGACCAGTCTGGCCAACATGGTGAAATCCCGTCTCTACTAAAAATACACAAAAAATTAGCCAGGCATGGTGGCATGAGCCTGTATTTCCAGCTACTTGGGAGGCTGAGGCAGAAGGATAGCTTGAACCCAAGAGGCAGAGGTTGCAGTGGCCCAAGATCGTGCCACTGCACTCCAGCCAGGGCAACAGAGTGAGACCTCATCTCCAAAAATAAAAAATAAAAAATCAGCCAGGTTTGCTGATGCATGCCTGTAGTCTTAGCTACTCCAGAGGCTGAGGTGGGAGGATCACTTGAGCCCACGAGGCAGAGGTTGCAGTGAGCTGAGATTGCATCACTGCATTCCAGCCTGGGCAACAGAGCAAGACCCTGTCTCAAAGAAAGAGAAAAAAAGAAAAGAGAACAGGCAGAACTAATTAATAGTGACAGAGGTCAGAATTACTACTACCGTTCCCTCCGAGGATGTATATTGACATTTTGTTTATCTGGGAAGGAATGTGAAGGAACATTCTGGAGTGCTGGAAATGTTCTAGATCTTGATCTGCATGGTGATTGTATGGGTTTATACATATGTAAAATCTGCTGGAATGTTGGCTTAAGCTTAATGCACTTCATGCTCTTGACTGTATGTATGTTTTACATCAGTAAGTTGAAGCAAGCACTGCCTAGCTCAAGACCTTTATGATCTGATCCCATTTTATCTTTCCAGCCTTTTTTCCTGTCACTCCTTTACCCACAGACTATGCTCCAGCGACATCAAACTTCACATACTAGCAGTTTATCATTTTTCTCCTTATACATCTCTTCTTTTGCTGACACTGTTCCCTTTGCCTGAAAGACATGAAGAAGTTGGTCTCAATAAATATTTGAAAAAATAAAATGCAACAACATCTTGATTAATAAATATCACTATACTCCAAGGAAAAATACATTTGTTGAGACATCCTCCCAAAAAGCAATGAGGCATGCATGAAAAAATTTGAGTTGACTGGGCGCAGTGGCTCACGCCTGCAATCCTGGCACTTTGGGAGAGCGAGGCAGGTGAATCACAACGTCAGGAGTTCAAGACCAGGCTGGCCAACATGGTAAAACCCCATCTCTACTAAAAATACAACAACAACAACAACAATCATCATCATCATCATAATAATAATAATAATTAGCGGACTTAGTGGTGGGTGCTTGTAGTCCAAGCTACTCGGGAGGCTGAGGCAGGGGAATTGCTTGAACTCAGGAGGCGGAGGTTGCAGTGAGCTGAGATTGTGCCACTGCACTCCAGCCCAGGCAGCAGAGTGAGACTCCATCTCAAACAAACAAAAAAAACAAACAAAAAACTAATAAATAAAGGAAGACTATCTGCTCTTGCACACACATTAATTTCTCCTCCATGAATGGCTTCCATATCTCCTAGAAAAACCTTTTCAATATGTCTGAGCTGGCTATGAGGTAGTAAATCTTTCTGGTTGCTTACCCATCCCCATCTGTTCTTTCCCTCCTTCCTAACAGATACTCACCCCTCTCACAGGCAGCCTGTGTCCTTAGGAGGGAAACTGTCCCGTCTCTAACTGCAGGCTCTGGAGTTGGCTTAAGACAATAATACCTATTATTCCAACAGTCATTGGTTCAAAGATAAGCACGTGACGGCTTTCCAATCAGAGTGACTCTCAAGCCCTTTGCTTGAAAGGCTGGAATAGAAAGACTCTCTTTTCCTCTTTGGGATGTGGTTGTGGTGAATGAAAAACTGTGGCAGCCATCTTGATATCTCCTTCCCTTCCCCAAAAGAGGTTAAGTACAGAGAAACTCTGAGAAGCCAACCAGGAAACACTCCCTACCTCAGGACCTCCAGTTATATGTGCCAATACCTTCCTTATTGTTTGTATCGATGGGTTTATTTTTATTTTTTAAATTGTGGTAAAACATACATAACATAAAATTTACTTTTTTTTTTTGAGACGGAGTCTCGCTCTGTCGCCCAGGCTGGAGTGCAGGGGCCAGATCTCAGCTCACTGCAAGCTCCGCCTCCCGGGTTCACGCCATTCTCCTGCCTCAGCCTCCTGAGTAGCTGGGACTACAGGCGCACGCCACCTCGCCCGGGTAGTTTTTTGTATTTCGGGGTTTCACCGGGTTAGCCAGGATGGTCTCGATCTCCTGACCTTGTGATCCGCCCGTCTCAGCCTCCCAAAGTGCTGGGATTACAGGCTTGAGACACCACGCCCGGCCAAAATTTACCATTTTAACAATTTTTAAGTACACAGCTTATTAGCATTAAATACATTCACATTGCTTTGTAACCAGCGCGGCCATCCATCTCCAGAACTTTTTTTTTTTTTTTTGAGACTGAGTCTTGCTCAGTCACCCAGGCTGGAGTGCAGTGGCGAGATCTCGGCACTGCAAGGTCGGCCTCCTGGGTTCAAGCCATTCTCCTGCCTTAGCCTCCTGAGTAGCTGTGATTACAGGCGCCCACCACCATGCCCAGCTAAATTTTTTTTTTTTTTTGTATTTTCAGTAGAGACAGGGTTTTGCCATGTTGCCCAGGCTAGTTTCAAACTCCTGACCTCAGATGATCCGCTCACCTTGGCCTCCTGAAGTGTTGGGATTACAGGTGTGAGCCACCACGCCCAGCCATCCCCAGAACTTTCTTCATCCTGCAAAACTGAAACTCTACCTATTAAACAATAAATCCCCATCCCACTCCACCTGACAACCACCATTCTACTTTCTGTTCCTATAAATTTGACTACTTTAAGAATTTCATATGAGCAGAATAATATAGTATTCATGACTGGCTTATTTAACTTGGCATAATGGCTTCAAGGTTCTTCTGAGTTGAGCATGTGTCAGAATATCCTTCCTTTTTAAGGCTGAA